TCTGGCTCATTTTAAATTCCCCTCATGGTACAATTCTTCCTAATCTCTATTGCGATTTAAACATAGAGACAGACAACACTAAATTATTTTAAAAATATCAAAATTCCAAACATACAGAAACAATTTATTAGATTTAGAATGACTGTCTCCACAATGGTTTCAAACCTTTGTCAGTAACAGCCTTCTTTCTTGTTTAAGTATATTTCTCTACCATACACATGAGTAGTATTCAGTGTCTAGCTGGATACCCACCCTGAAACTCATGGCTTCCTGAAGTTACAATGCTCACGTGCTTAAAAATGCAAGTCTTTGGGAGGACTTGAATTTTAGATTATAATATTTTAGTAGACAAAAGTTTGTCCCAATGATAAAAAAAAAGTATACACCAGAAATCTAGATTATAGCAGACACCTGAGAATCAGAAGGGTTTCATTCACAGTTGCTCAAAATAACCTAAATATTCCAGTATTTTCTGTATTTTAGATCTAAGTTATAATTCTAGAAGCAGACACATACTGTTAGATAAACACTTACACAACCACCTCTTACTCATTTTTATGTGACAGAATCATAGAGAGGTAAGCATGAGCATCTCAAAAGTGCAGAGACATTGTTATAACTACCGTTGATTCTCTTCAGGTAAGCTAGATGCCTTTGCCCTGAGTTAAAGGTGATCAGAGACGCTCAGAAACCTGTTGCTTTTACTGTCTTCAGCTGGAGATGCATCTGTTCAGCACTACAGGAAAACCAGACTATTTTGAAATGTTCACTTGCTTTGCATCACCAGCAGATGGCACACGGATAAACTCTAACAAAAGAACTACTGTGTCCTTTACAATTAATCTGTATCAGGCTGGGGGGGGAGAAAAAAAAAAGTCAGCCCCCCTCCCATATCCTGCATCACTATTTCATAGGTGAGAAGAACTGTCAGAAAGGGTCAGGAGGGAGAAACATTTTACAGTTTCCTCTGCCTATTTTGATCATGGACACGTGGACAGTTCAGAGATCACCCCCAATCCACACAGAAACCCCCAATTTGCAGAAGTCCCAAAGGCACTGGAAACACACCACCATTTGTCAAGAGGCCACGGTCTTTGCGCAGGCGCTCACGTCCCCTGCGCCATCTCCCCAGACCTCAGTTCCTCCTGCATGCCGTAACTCCCGTGTCACTGAGGAAAGGTTTCAGGTCCCCGATCCAACCAAATGGATTTCCAACCCAACTCCTGCTAATTGCAGGAAACAACAATACTTAGTCCTTTCACAGGTATCTCTGAACCCCCCTAGGAAATACCTAGGCTGTTACAATATTGAACCATTTTCCGGGAAGTGGAGGACCTTGAATAAAAGTGTTCCCGACTGCTCAGATTTTAGGATACCCTTGAAATGTCAGGGTTGCAGCCCCACTAGCACCTGGACCTGTTGAAAGCTTTCATGACATTAACAAATGACTTTTTCTTGTCTTTTAGAACATTTCCTTGCCGGGCAAAAGTTTATGCTGAACAACTTTTTTTTAATATCTAGTTGGACTCTGGGGGCTCTATCCTGGCAAATCATATATTTTATTACAGCTTCAATTAAAGAATAGAACAGTCTTTAACTTAAAAATATTTCCATAAACAGCAGAACTTGTGATGAAGGCTTCCTATGGTCCTGCCATGGTATTCCATGGTGCTTGCTGCTACATCTCTGAGTTGTGCCAAATAAAGGGACAGATATTTTTGTAACCTGTTCATCAATGAGAGCACTCGAGGCTCGCTCTCTGTGAACCACCTGTTTTCACAAAACATGTAGAAAATTTATCACAGAAAAAGGGTCACAGACACTAATTTGGCTGAAATAATGCTTAGCACTATGGAAAACAGAAGAGGCCAAGAATAATAATGAGTAAACCTTTGTTTTCTTAGGATCCCAGGCTGTTTCACATAGACATTCCATCAAATGTATTGTTTCTACACTGAATTCAACTTCTAATACCCTCCCTGTATCTTCAGTCTGAAACTCAAAACTGCTTTTCATAGTGTCAAATATTTACAAGACGTACGTTGCTAATGTCAGAGCAGAAACTGGAGGATATCTGATGTATTTTACTGTTTCTACAAAACAACTGAAGTGAGGTAAAGTGTTAACGTTCAAATGTTTCACAAGTATTTCAGGTTGTCTACTGACTTCAACAGGTATTTGTTTAGATTCAGTCCGTATTTTCAAAGTTATTTGCACAATAGCAGAAACTAAACTTATATTGAAGGCTTAGATATGTGAAGAGAATTTTAAAGGAGAAGGGGATTTTCAGCAAATTACATAGTAACCAAATATAAACCCGACAAAAGGACAACAACTACAAAGCATAGTAATTAGAGCACCTGGATAGCTACGGGAGTGACAGCAGCTGTACTGGTTTAGGACTGAGAGCAGAGCGAAAGTAGTATGCATTTTGACTACTTCGCCTCTTTTTTTTCAAAACCCATGCATGCAAGCAAGAATTTTTTCAGTGAAAAATTTTCTACTGATTTTGATGGTTCTTAATAATAAATTATTTGGGAAGAGGAGCACTTGTCTGAACTGGACTTAGCAGAACTGATCCCAGTACTTGCAGTACTATAGCAGCTTTTGCAATAATTAAGTTTCCTGACTAAAATGCACACTTTCTACTTCTCTACAATAAAACACTTCCAGTCACAAATTTAAGGTCTATGTAAATATATTTCCAGAACTGGACTGGAAACTCCTCAAGATAATTTCATTTCATTTAAGAAATTGTTTTCTGAGATTTAAACCTCAGAAACTGAGATGTATAATGGACTCCTATCTTTGATATACTATATATATAAACTATGTGATCTAAACATACATTTCCTCATAGATGTAAGTGGACTGTCCACAGTGAAAATCAGGATTCTCACGCTGTGTGTTCTCCTAAAGTACAGAGAGCAAACAAATTAAATATTTCTAAAAATCAATTAGATCTTTTAGTTCCTTATTAATGCTTCTATTTGCTTGTTGTAGGCTTTCCCTGCAACTGTGTGCCACTACACAACAAAGAAGAGAAAAAATTTAAAAAACCCTTTTTCTATAATTCCTTCTAGCTGGTATCTAAGGTAAGTAATAATTATATTATTCCAAAGAGATTTTTAAGATATTTTGTTTAAATTATCTTTTAATTTTCATTTAAAATGCATCCTACCTTTATTTCTAATTTTACAGTCTTAAAAATGATGGAAATTGGTGGTTTCTATTTGTTTCCTAGTTGTTAGTGGATATGCAGAATTTATGGAAATTATTTTTCTACAAAGCCATTTCAGATTTGAAACGTGAATATGTACTGGAAAGAAGCCCAGTCTTTCATTATAACGTTCTCAGAGGATGGATTTTAAACACAAGTGTTAGACTTGCTATTTTTACAACAAACCTGCACTTCAGACATTGCAAATCAAAAATACTGGGAAAAAAAAAAATCATTCAGGTTACCCTTACCCACCAAGACTTGTTATTTAAAAGATAATCCGTAAAAAAATGCAGAGACCTTAGGTGGCATATTGGATATAGGCAACTAAATCCAGCACCATAAGCCACAAAACCTCGACTTCACTGTGTAGAGATGTACAAACACTGTATTCTCCTAAGAGCAGCTCCTAGACCTTAGCTTGGGGCCAAACAACCCTCAGCCCCAGGTGGATGAAGGCCTCAGGTCTCCCCAGCTGTCCCAGAGGAATGTGCTCATCACTCAGCCAAGGCACCAACCCTTTTGTCCACTGTTTTGTTGGTGGCTCCAGGACTCTTGCATTCTCAGCTGCACAGTGGCCACCTCTCAGCTGGAAATATAGGAAGCACCTCTGCCTATAATGGACTTGAACTGCAGCATTTCCATGAGATGCAGGGATTTGATCTCCCTGAGGCTGGTAAGGACACTCAACCCAAGCTGACAAATGATTTGCAAACACTCTATCCACTGCACTAATTTATGAAGGTTTGGTGCTGTTGCCTCTTCCACCTTCCACTGCCAGCTCCTTTTCTTCTTCTTCCCTAATCCCTCAGTGCTCTAAACCAAA